GTCGCCTCCCCCGTAAAGGGGAGGTCAGTACTTGGAAGCATTTGACAAGTACAATGACAACTATACTGAATATAATCCATGTTTCAAACACAAGACCCTCAACATAGGGTGTTACTATATTATGGGCATAACCTATAGCTACCCCGTTTCAAATCACTTGTATAGAATATATATACCAAGTCAAATAGCCAACCCGTAGGTCCATTTGTATTTCAAAACAATTCCTCTTGTATAGCCCTTGGCCTATTCTTGCATATAGCAATCTCGAGAGGTTACCTCACCCCTAGTCTAAACCCAACTCTATCGAGAGGGTTACACAAATTATCCTTTGTACTCATCCATGTTGGACTTACACACCCTACGGTGTATTCATTCATTTTGGGCTTACACACCTAGTATAATATCTTTGATTCATTTAGGGCTTACACACCCCGTATAATCTTAGTTTGTGTAGGGCTTACACACCCCGTATAATACTTTACTCTTTTAGGGCTTACACACCCCGTGTAATACTTTATTCGTGTAGGGCTTACACACCCCGTATAATACTTTATTCATGTAGAGCTTACACACTCCGCGTAGTATCCTTTATTTGTTAAGGCTTACACACCCCGCGTAATGCTTCATTCATGTATGGCTTACACACCCTGCGTAATATCCTTTACTCGTTAGGGCTTACACACCCCGCGTAATACTTTATTCATGTAGGGCTTACACACCCTGTATATGTTTCATTCGTTTAGGGCTTACGCACCCCGTATATATATCCCCGTATACTCATTGTATACGAGCAATCATAATCTATCAACCTCAGGCTAGTCTTCATCAAGACTCCCCGGGCTGCCTTCATATAGTCTAGGTAGACTCCACCATTTCCTTTAAGTGTGACCGTAGTCCATCACTCATTCTAAGTTCATGCCTATTTTATTCAATACTATAGATAGCACACACAATTAATCACTACGGATTCATATCACTTTGATCATATCAATAACTCAAGTATTCCTTACTTCACATTTAATCACTTTGCCTAACCACATAGGTATCCATATATCCCTTTTTGAGATCTTATGGAATCACACATTTATCAACATTTGTTTATATCATTCTAATCCTCAATATCAATTCGATAATTAATATATTTCAAGGATTTCTTCCCTCATGCATAATACCTTTGCTTATCCACCCTTGTAATATCATGTATCAATTTATATGACCACATAGCAACACATTTATTCACATTGAGGTATATCATTTAATTCCATCAAAATTATAATTTGATTACTTAGGTAATCTCATGCTCAACTCACGAGTTATAGACAATATAGTTAGTCATCCTCACCTTAAATATGCCCAGCAAGGTTGCCTATTGAAGCCCCATCGTTAAACCTTCGATCGGGAATGACACGAAACAAGCTTGGCTGGCAGAGGGCAAAAGCCGCCCGGCTTTTGCAAAAGCTGCCCGGCTTTCGGGCCCTGCAGCACGAAAACAACACCTAGAAGTGGCGGTTTCCGGCGATTTCAATTCCTATCGATTCAACAACTCTTCTAAGTTAATTACCAAAACTTTACATCATATTTATACACTTTTAAATGTGTATAACATCCCCTAGAATCCATCATATGATTTCTATAAAATCATATATGAAAACTATATAAAAAGAAAGAACAAGAACCAGAGCTACATGGTTCTTACCGCTAGGCTTCGTTTTCTCTTGGATTCTCTTCTCTTCTTCACTCCCTTTTCTCCCTGAGGCTCTTGTGTGCGTAGAACACTCTCAAGGCACTCCCTCCTTTCTATGGTTCACGTAAACATCCCAAGTGAGAGGATAAGGAGACTCCCCTCCCTTATCTTCTATTTTTAGAAGGTTGGACCGATTTTATTTGGGTTCGGTTCACAGGTTGCCTCCTTTTTATTTAATTCAGTCCAACACTATTTTATAGCTTACTCCTCCTCATTATTATGGGTTACACTTTATATGGAATACCCCAAATTAAAGTGTAGGGAACCCTTCACCCTTATAATTGTTCGACCCGACTAATTGTATATTACTTACTTCTTATCCTTGGGCTTTTTATTTAATTTATCTTGGTCCAAGAATATATACTACGTATAAATTAGTCCCTCCCCATGTTTGGAGTCCGACCCACAATTTAATTAATCGGTATTAATTTAATCAATTAATCATTTCTAGTATGATTAATATACTTGTAACTGGTTTTTAAAGTGAATACACATTCACGACTTTAACTAATCATCCCTGTCGAAATTAGTAATAGTACTTTCACTTAGATTTTAATATCAATGGATTAATAAATCCAAGTTTAAATTGGGAGCCGTGTCACATACAAAATAACATCACATCATACCTTTTATTCTACACATTTCAATATCACCTAGTGCACATTTCAATTTCACCCAATGCACAATTCAGCTCACATAATGTCACTGTATCATACCCTTTGTTTTGCACATTTTAAGTTTACTTAACGCACATTAAAGTTTCATCTAATGCACATCGATTTTCACTTAAAACAAATCTAACGATCCAGATTCATTCTCATCCCTCTTCTAAGATCATGTTTTATTTGAACCAAAACCTGTTAAACCATTTATAAGTGCAATATGTACCTAAAAAAGTGCACAATTAATCAACATCGCAGATTAGAACTCTAAAAGTGCATAATTGTCAAACTCACAAAACTTGTGTACAAAATGCACAATTAGAATGCATAAGTGATTAAATGATTAATACAGAGTATTTACTTATCAACATTAAGATTAAAATATATTTATACATCTAATTGTAAACGTAGCATTATTAGAAATTCAGTTGTACACATTGAAAACAGTAAAATTGCATTCATCTCACAAGAAAAAGAAAGATAAATAATACGTAATCAATATATATATATAAAAGAGAAACTTTTTAAGAGCATACGGCGCGCCACATAATCCTACCATGTCATCATATATTACAATTATTTAATTACTATTTATAAATTTTATTGTTTTTATTACATTCTATTTTTATTGCATATTGATATGGAAACAAAAGATCGTAGGATAGAATCCATCTTATTTGGTAACTTTTTCAGAATCTACTACTTACTCCGTATTAATATGGATATTTATTAAAATATATATAAAAGAGGAATTTTAAGAGCACCTGACGTGCCACATAATTCTGCCATGTCATCATATATAACAATTATTTAATTACTATTTATACCTTTTTTTATTACATTCTATTTTTTATTACATATTGATATGGAAATAAAAGACCGTCACGTGTGATAAAATCCACCTTATTTGGTAACTTTTTCAGAATCTACTACTTACTCCGTAGATTGCAACCACAACAATAAATAGTCATCCGTGCACAAAGACTTTATTTAATTTAATTATTTTTATACTTTTATTTTTATTACATTCTATTGAGAAGTGAATTATCCGTGTTTTGCGCACCTAACAAATAAACCATCCAAGTTCCTATCAATTTTGTTCTTCAAAGTTATTTTATAAATAAAGTAATAATAGTGTTTCATTTCCTAAAAAGTACGGAGTAATATTTTATTTTTCTAAACTCAGTTTTTTTGAATGTTTTCTAAACTCAATGTGATAATGACTAAAGTTGTCAGACTTATATTTGCAATTGTGTTAATACTTCGTATTTTTCTGCATCATCATACCATTCTTTCTTAATTGTTGAGATAATGATGAAAATTATAACCACAAGATTTTTTAACTTAAAAATGAAATTGATATATACTATTAGACATTCATATATGAAAACATTTAAAACTTCTGATCAAGTATCTTACCTTTATGAGGATGGAAATGGAAATTCATATCATACATATATGAATACGTTTAGCCCAGCAAAAAAAGTAAACATGTTTAGTTGTTTCTTTATTTTTACAACTACAATTTAGATTTTCCTTCACTTTTGATATAGATTCCTAATCTAAATTAGGAAATCTTCATACATTTAGGGTGTTTTTAATTGGACTGGTTTCAGTCTTAGACAAGATCGGATCAAATATCAATCATCATCATTATTATTATTATTATTATTATTATTATTATTATTATTATTATTATTATTATTATTATTATTATTATTATTATTATTATTATTATTATTATTATTATTATTATTATTATTATTATTATTATTATTATTATTATTATTATTATTATTATTATTATTATTATTATTATTATTATTATTATTATTATTATTATTATTATTATTATTATTATTATTATTATTATTATTATTATTATTATTATTATTATTATTATTATTATTATTATTATTATTATTATTATTATTATTATTATTATTATTATTATTATTATTATTATTATTATTATTATTATTATTATTATTATTATTATTATTATTATTATTATTATTATTATTATTATTATACATAAAATAGACATCTTCCAGACCAAGTTAGAAATGAACATGTCAATCAAATTAAAAATATCCTTATTAATGATATTTTCAATGTGACGAAATAAATGAGTAAATTGTAAAAATGACCCCTCTTTTACACTTCAATGTGACAAAATAATGAGTACAATGTAAGAGCTCACTAATAAATTTAAAAATACTTATTTCATACCACATGTTGAATGAGAAATATTTAAAAATAGTTTTTTAGATGCTTAATGAAGTAATATAGAGGATGTGAAATTAATTAAGAAACTTTTGTATGAATTCTTTAAAATCGGGTTCATAACTATTATGTTTAGTTGAGATGCTTATGTAGAAGTCCAATTTAAATATTTTTCATATAAATTTGAATTACTTTTATTATGTACTACCCGTGCATCGCACGGGCTTGAAAGCTAGTAAATAAATAAAATAACATTCTGATCGAAATCTTATGTTGCCAACTTAATACGGTCCTTATTTAGAAAGAAAGTACACAAAATAAAAGAAAAAGAAAAAGCAACATAAAGAACAAAGAAAATAGAAGACGCACTCATGTCCTAAAACATTAAAAGCCATATTAATAGAACGTAATTAAAGATGCTAAAGTAACTTCATGGAATCTAGGGCTTCGCGCCGCTAGGTGTTTTGTCCGGTCTTGGCGATCAAACCAAGACTCGGTGGCTCTTCGGTAGCATCGACATCGGGTGGCCGCGGCTTTTAAAGCAGGTTGGTGGGGAAGGATCGCAGAAGCAGTCTCAAGGCTTGTTTGTTTTTCATCCGGTCTTTGCGAAGGAAGCCTATATCGCAGAGAAGTTTTGCTTTGTTTTGCGGGCAAAGATGGAATCCATAGCGGACAGGTACCGGAGGATGAAGGTGGCGGAGAAGGAGACGGAACTGGACTGCGACGACGCCGAGGAAGGAAAGGAAGACGAGGAGGTGGTTCGCCCACGCTTCTCGGTGGTTGGAGCGTTGATTGCAGACCGGAAGATCAGTTTTGTGGGTTTCAAGGAAGCAATGACGACGGCGTGGCGGCCGGGCAGAGGAGTAGAGATCAAGGAGATTGAGGAAAAAAGGTACATCTTTAACTTTAATCATCCTGTTGATATGAAGCGTGTTGTTGAAGGAGGTCCATGGCAGTTTGAGAAGAATTTATTGATTGTTAAAGAGATTAAACCAACAAATATCCCCCATAAGAGTATACTGAATGAGGCAGAATTCTGGGTTCAGGTTCTCAATGTTCCTTACGGATTGCTGAATCTAGGGAATGCTAGGAAAGTGGGTAACTTTTTGGGAAAATTTGTGGATTATGACAAAAACAATAATGGGGAACACTGGAGGCCATATATGAGGGTTAAAGTTTGTATTAATGTAGAGCTCCCACTGAAAAAAGGCACAACGTTAAAGAAAGATGGAGTGGAGTATTGGGTTGATTTTCAGTATGAGAGGTTGCCTAACTTTTGCTTTATTTGTGGGGTTATGGGGCATTCTGATAAGTTCTGCCCACTTTTGTATGAAGAAGGTTTGGTTTTGGAAAAAAGTTTTGATGCGTCCCTTAGGGCAGGGGGAGGAGTGAAGACCAACCCTACAGGGTTAAACAAATGGCTGATCGGGGAAAGCTCGAGTTCGGAAAAGGGGAGCCAGGGGTGGTTGGGGCAAGGGAAGGAAGATAAAGGGCTGGGGGACAAAGAAGATGTGACTGACTCTGGGAGTGCTTCCAACAAGGAAGTGGTTCTGAAACAAAGCGAAGAATATGCAGGCGAAAAGCGCAGGCGTACTTGGGAAGTAGGGACAACTCAAGAACAGGAATCAGCAGAGATGGCTCTGGACAACGGAAAAAACGGGGAGGCGACGAACTTAGAGGGGTAAGCTCGTCCGGGGAGGCTGGGAGACAGAAAGCGACTGGATGGTGCTGCGGGGTGTCGTTTTATTGTTATAATTGTTATTTTTCAGTCTGGTGTGTCTTGTTTGTTTCTGACAGTTTTTGTTCTTCCTTTTGTTTTGTTTTCGGTTGTGCCTGTAAAACGTTTGGGTTGGATTTGGAGGTAGGAGATGATTTAACTAGGATTACCGTCACTGGCTCAGTTGTGCCCACTTTTGGATCAGCGAGTTATATTACTGAGGTAGTTGACTCCAACTCTGGTTCGCGGGACGACGGTCATCTTAAGTTACTTTGTCAGTTTTCCTGCTATCCTGATGTTTTGAGTTATATGTAAGCCACCTTTCCTCAAAAAAAAAAAAAGATGCTAAAAAATAGGAAGGTAAAATCGTTAGAATACACATGATTACATGAACGGAAGGAAAACAACGGAATGTCCAAATTACCCACTACGGTATTATTTAACATTAATTTTAAAAAGGTCAATCTAACGGTTGTAGTGCATTCTTATTTCTCTCTTAAGATGATATTCTCATTTGATCCAAAACCTATATATATACATCTGGGTTATCTACTCGGTGAGTACTCGGCGAGTACTCGCAACTCGGGTCCTTACCTTGCCGATGAGCAACTTAACTCGGTCCGAGTTAATTTTCCGAGTTACTCGCCGAGTACTCGGCGAGGTTTGCTACTCGGTCGACATCGAAAATCGGCGAGTACTCAGTATTACTCGGGGTTTTTAAAATTGAAGCACTACGGTTAGAAATCCTAAATGTACAAATAGGCCCATGTACTAACCAAAAAAGGTCAAATAAGCCCTTATTTAAGAGGCTTTGTCCGCCCGTCGCCATTTGGAGTGGTTCCCGGTGAAGTTTTTTGATGAAATTTTTTGAGCATCTTATTCATTAAGTCTAGTTTACTCATACCAAATTTCAGCTAAAACTTCAATCGGGAAGGCATTCAAATGAATTCTTGAAAATAACTGCGCAGTTAGAAGCGCAGTTATCTTCAAGAATTCATTTGAATGCCTTCACGATTAAGGTTTTAGCTGAAATTTGGTATGAGCAAACTAGACTTGATGAATAAGATGCTCAAAAAATTTCATAAAAAAATTCCACCGGGAACCACTCCAAATGGCGACGGCCGGACAAAGACTCCTAAATAAGGACTTATTTGACCTTTTTTGGTTAGTACATGGGCCTATTTGCACCTTTTCCCATCCTAAATTAAAGCCTAAATTTAACGGAGTTCCAAGTCTCCGACTGCAACATCGGCTCTCTTGGAGTTGCACGACATCCGCTATTCCTTCAAGTTGAGATTGTGATATCGGCTAGTAACTCGTCTTTCTCTCGTATCTTCACCTCTTCATCTCTGCTTTCTTCTTCTTCCCCCCTTTCTTAGTGGTGTATGTTATTGCCTTCTTGGATAGTTTTGGTTCATGTATTCGGTAAGCTTTCATTCTTGGATAAGTAGTCTAGTAGATATCCTGCTTTATACTACTAGTAGTCAATGCATGACTTCTTAGACTAAGCTGATAAACACTTTAGAATAATATAAGTAGTTTAGTAGACACCCTGCTTTATGTTGGACTAATGCCCTCGTACTCCCTATAAATTCAATTTCAACAATAGACATTAAATTTTGATCACTTATGAAATTTAAATTTTGAAAACTTAGAATATTTATGACTTTTGCTACTCCATCATTAGGATAATAGGATTTGTATCTTTTTATTCATTTCTTTTCTTTTTAAAACAAATTTAAGACTATTTTAAGACTATTATAATTCTAAATATCTGGCAACTAGCCTATATTATTAAATTTAATTAATACAAGACCGAGTAATCACCGAGTAATCCCGAGTAAGCGGTCCTACTCATTACTCGGCCCTTGACCGAGTTACTACCGACACTACACAAAAAATAGTTTGTAGAGGCAAGTCATAGTTGTCCCTATATATGAAGATATTGCCTCTAATTACTTTTTGAGGCAATTTATTGGGTGCCTCTAAGGTGTCCCTAATAAATCTGTCCCTAAATGATGGTTGCTTCTAAATCTAGCTTTAGAGGCAACAAAATATTTGACTCTAATGATATGCATTTAGAGGCAACCATATGATCATGTCCCAAAATATCATTTGAGGCAATCAAGTCACCTTGTCTCTAAACACCATTTGAGGCAACCATGTCACCTTGTTCCAAAACATTATTTGAGGCAATCATAATATATTGTCCCAAAACATTATTTGAAGCAAACCTATTATCCCGTCCTTAAACACCATTAGTGACAACCCAAAATATGATGTCTCAAAATATAATTAGAAATAATTATATTATGGTGACTCTAAATATCATTAGAGGCAACGTCATATAGCAATGCATATTCAAGCACATTTTTTTATTATATGGTTTTAGATGACTACAAAAGGATGCATTCAACAACAATCATATTATATTGTCTCAATTAATTTAAACATATGGTTACATGAGTACTTAAAATAAGTTACACAAACTATAATAACAAAGCAAAAACTGCATTATTATGTACCATAAATACAAAGCAAAGTTTAGTCATCCAACTATTACAAATAAGTAAATAACTAACTTCAAAAATTTATAACAAGTCAATAATATTCAATTTATTAATAAGTAGCTAAAGAAATGTATTGCCTACTAATCAAAAGTGAAGTCAAATATAACGACAAGCTAAGGACAAAATCATTTCAAATAATTCACTGATCTTCTCCATCCGATGACATTTCGTCACTCTCTTCGTCAACCTGGCACATAAAAATAGTAAATAAATACTCCATATTTCATAATAAAAAACTCGAAATACTTCTTAATAAAGATTAAATAAATTAATATGATGACACACCTCATTCGTTATTAAATCTGAGATATCATAACCCATGATGTTCAACAATTTCTCCATACAACCTTTCATATTTTTCATCTCGCCTTTGAAACGCTTCACTTCTTTGGTGAGCACTTTATTTTTCTCATTGGCCTCATATGCTTCTTTCTTAGCCTCATTAGCTTCTTTCTTGGCTTCTTCTGCTTCTTTACGCAATTGTTCTCCTTCACTGAATGACCCATACATTGATGTAATGGAAGGACTTACTCCCATTCGACGACCACGTTGGCATTTTCCTTTGGGTTTAACTTTTTCATAAATTTCTTCATCCGTCAAATTATTTTTCCCTGCTGCACGTTGCTCTAAAAGCTCCTTCATTTTTGACTATAAAAAGGTTCAAACATGAGTATTAACACAATTACTACACAAATAATAACAAACTGAAAGTAGTGACAAAGTTTTTAGCAAAGTGATATCAGTTTTACAACACGCTAATTAAGAAGCAAAAATAAAGCAATCAAGCTTGTGTGATTCGAATATCATATTTCAAAATACTCTGATTTTTACAAGTAACATATTTTAGTACATTAAACTAACATAAAAAATAAAAACAGATTGTAAATCTATAATACATAAAACTAATATAAACTGATTTTTTAAAACTAACATATGAAATTATATGTCAGACATATATAAGAAGTATAAACCAGTTTAAACCAGTTTAATTGGAGTACAAAGCAGTTTAACCAGATATATTAAGAGCTGACTATATGTGATACTTTGATATGTAGTGCTAATTACAATATACATCAGAAAGTACATACAGGAGCACAAAATAACAAACTCCAAGTACAAGGTCGTTAACGTTATATAAGACTTCTCAATATCTTACACGTATCATATACAAGAGCTGAAATTAAAAATCAACAAAAAAAATTGCATATAGTTATAGTACTTTACTTACAATATTTTGCTTCGCGACATCATTCACTGGCGTCTTATCAATTTTGGTATGGGTTATCTCGTATGCTTCCAATATGTTCGGCATGACTTGCTCTTTTTCACACTAGTATGCAAAAACATTAATAATTAGCCGTTAAATAGTTCAAAATATAAATAGAATGACTCATAGGACACAAACTAGTACGTACCACTTCATGAATGACTTGAGCAAAACTCTTTGTGCCAGCGGTGTGTCCAGCAGTTTGGCATGAGCGGTTCTTACTATTTCGTTTACTCATCTCCTGTTATATGAAAGCAAACAATATGGAAGTGAAAAATTAAAAAAGAGGGCAGCTAAGGCAAAACTGAAAAAGTATGTGCAAAACTTGAAAAACTATCAAGTATTTACTTCATACGGCAACTTGGAATATCCAGTCCTGTAATATCATATTTTAAACCAATAAACACAATTCTATTAAGCCAACACAATTAAAATATCAGATTTTCTTAACGATTTGTTATAGATTTAACAAGGAATGCTACCAAGTCATAATGTGCACGCAAAAGCCAACCATGTACATAAATGAATAAATAATTTTACCTGAAACTTTGGAGATCCAAAATACTCCACAAGCCACTTCCATTCTTTTTTGTTAACACACGGTGGTTTATTTTCATCCTTTAACCGTTCCACATCTGTGTCTTCAGTATCGTAATAATTACTTTTCAGCCTTCCTCTATAACTTTTGTACTTCTTTTTCAAAGATTTCATCAAAGTCTTTTTTCTCTTTTCACTTAGCTTTTCATATTGCTCTTCATCTTCAACATCATCAAGCCCAATATCAAATTTTTCCTTGCAAAATTCAATAGCTCTTAGCAAAATTAAATAACTTAAATAAAACCAATGTACTATTTACATAAATTAAAATTATCAATACCAAAATAAGCCGCCACATCTTATCCTTTTTCTCATCGGGTATTTGTGAAAACTCTTCAATCTGATAAAGTGGTGCATTGAGAGTATCTCTAACAATGGCACCACAATAGTTCGCAAGACTAGCTCTATTAACACCAATGGGTTCTCCCTTTATGTTAAAGTCTACTTTCTTCCTCTCACCGGGTCTCAGTTTTGCCAATTGTAGATTTCTCGTTGGACCTCTAGGAGTATTTGACTTGTAAACTTTCTTCTTCTTGATATTCGCAGCTTCAAAACAAAACATCAATATTAGTTCAGCTTATAATAGTATATGATACATAAAGCTTAGCATAATAAATATTTAAATGGACACAAAGATTGAAATTTTAGGTTCTTATCCATTCTGTGAACTTAAGTTATCTTTTTCTTTTTTTTTTTGCATAAAAATCGAAGGATATACCTAAGAGTAAAACTTTTATTATTAAATACAAGAAAATATCAAATTTTTATGGAATTTACAGAAAACTCCTTTGAGAGGCCAGATCTATTTCTCCCGGGGAAATGGATAGTCGAAACCGCCATGGCTGCAAGTCTGCAACAACCAGGTCCTTTTCCGGGTTGCCTCGCCAAGATACGGATCAGGTCCTCAAAATGCCTCAAAATTAGTAGCCCAGAAAGGAATGGAAAACATAAGTCCATATCATCACAGCCTGTTCACAGTTCTTAACAATAATAATAATAATAATATACTCCATACTATGTACAAGCAGCAGTTTCAGATGCAAACAGAAAGATCAAAAAAGCAGAACGAGTTCATGATCTATGGAAAAGGTTGGTATTATTGTTGTTTTTCATTTCTGCAGTTTCTTTCTTGTGAAGAAGAAAGAAGAAAGGGCGGTTAGAGGAGGGGCATGGAGGAATCATGCGCAGAGGAGAGGGTGGCAACTGCCCTTTCAATAAACTCCCATCCCTCTCTCTGCCTCGCTCCTTTCTGGGCTCAGACTCGTGAGTGCAGTTCACTATAAACTCGTGATCAAACTTAAGCTATCTACTAATATATATATATATATATATATATATATATATATATATGTCTATCAAGTACTTCCATAATAAATATATAAATCCTCATATTTGCCGTATCAGAAAATTCATTTATTGTATTAATCCATCAAATAATGCATAATAGATTTGTTGCTAGCTAACTAGTGTGAATATATGAGCGATGCAGAAGACTAGACAAGACAATAAATATGAACAAAATTTGTACCCAGAACAGTGTCTCCTTCTACATTAGCATTTGCCTCATTGTTATAGCTTGTAGTCATTTTTAAGAGCATCCCATCTTCTCGATCGTCTGAGCAAAAAAGGATAAAAAGTCACAATAATGTTCACATAAACAGTACCCTATAAATAATGTGCACATCGTATACCTCTTTCCATGTCAAAATCTTCACCATTTTCACTATAGTGCTCTTCATTCTCTAAACCGTAAATATCTGCATTGTAATTTTAAAATATAAAAAACCTAATTTTGATTATTGGTAAAATGTAAAATATGCTAAAAACTACTTGTGTACCTTCTCCAAAATCAATATCTTCATGACCAACCTCCATTTGTGGTTGACTACTGTTGGCTGGATTGTTAAATCTAATTTTTAACTTACCTGTAACTCAATAAAATGTATACAAATTCATCATATAAATAAATAAATAATATAACCTTGTTGAGAAGCTTTCATGGCAGTTGATAGAGATTTTAGTGCTGCATTTCCAACTAATGTTGATTGTTTTCTGTTCATTCCATATAACTTGGCAACAGACGATGGTGGAATGAAGTTACGTTGTCTTCCAACCCCTTTTTGGTGCGTGCTTTTTCTCTGAAATGACATCAAGCAAATAGAAAGTGATAAACATACTGCGAATAACCGCATACTAATCAATATATGAAAAATGTAAAAGCTAATCATTAGACCCATAATCAATAGTTGAAAAATGAACACTACCTTTTTTGTAACTGAAATATGACCTTCGCTCTCAGAGTCTTCCACACTATCATTATCACTAGGCACATAATCATCACCATCCTCACTGCCTCTGTATTTGTGTTTACTTTTCTTATCCTTGCCACTGTCTACCAAGTTTGACATTGAAGCAACAATGCGCTTTATTCCCAACGACTTAAATTTCAGATTGTTCGCTTCAATCGTCCTTATTCTTTGTTGTTCATAGTCACTACGTGGTACTTCAACACGTTTTGGACATGTCTTTCCTTCCTTTTTTGACATGTTAATCTAATCCAAAATAAATTAAGCTATAACCAGAAAATCACAATTACAAAGAAACAAATAATACTAATTCTTTCTAGAAAGGTCCATAAAGATTACTATTAATTGAATCAACATGAAGGAATTGATATATAAAAGTGAGTGAAACAAAGTAGAGCATGAACTAAAAGAAATTGAAAAAAAAACTACAAAAGGTTTATGTCAAAACACAACTAGATGTCTTAATATTTTCTACAAAACGGCAAAGATGGTTATGGATATGTATCATCCTTTCCGTCAAGAACACTTTGCTGCTCAGGAACATCATAAAAGTTTCTTGGTGTTGCTGTAACCACCACCTTCCAGTTAGGCTTTAGAACATCGTCAACATAGAATACTTGTTGTGCTTGAGAAGCTAAAACATAGGGATCACTAGTCAAAACTTTGGTTGTATTGACACTAGTGAATCCGAAACGATCAGTAATAAACCCTCGACCATGACTATGAACATCCCACCAGTCACATTTGAAAAGTGTGACACGATTTTGTCCAATATATTGTACTTCTACAATTTCTCGCAAGACTCCATAATATGGGAGAACTGACGCTCCGCTTTCACCCTTCACAACGACCCCGCTGTTTTGTGTTTCCCTCCCCCTATCAAAATCCAGTGTTCGAAACATGCAACCATTAACCATGTATCCATTGACCGAAACGACTGCACGATTTGGACCATGTGCTAAAGCCAGTAAATGTTCTGTAACACTAGGATGTTTCTCCTGGAACAATTTTGTCACCTATTCATACATAAATTATATTAGTTTTAAACCCTAATATTGATTACAAAGAAAAACCAAACACAATTAGTTTTGTATGGATTCTTACTCGGTCCCTAAACCACTCAATACACTTTCTTTTTCGAACGGCAGTAATCCTTGTTCTATTTGTACCTTCCCAATCATATTCACTGCAATAAATACCTCACTGCAATTAATAAATAAATATTTATCTACGACGAAATTAGAAACATAACCATAAAATCTCACTCGATTATAGGTTGTGCTTCTCCACAGTTGTTCAACACAAAAAAATGAATTTCTTCCAATTCATTTGTAGAAAGTAGTTTGGGAGTCGCCTTCCCCAGTGGTCTGCCTCCTGTCACAAAAATAGGCAAATGATCTGTTGAAAGCAAATCACCACCATCTCTAATCCTATCTTGCTTGGTGAATTGTGTTTCTATATCCTCCATATATCTTGAACAAAACGTTAAGCACTCCTCTAATAAATATCCTTCCGATATTGAGCCCTCAGGGTGACCTTTATTGCGTACATACCCTTTAAGTTTACAAAGATACCTGCAAAATTGTTAACATATTTGTCAATTATTTTTATTACTTAATTAAAAACATCAATTGATTGAACTTTTTATTACCTCTCAACGGGGTACATCCAGCGATAATAAACCACTCCGGCAATCAACGCTTCACTTGCTAGGTGGATGGGTAAGTGTACCATAATAACGAAAAAAGAGGGTGGAAAGATTTGTTCTAGCTCACACAAGGTAATGACTATCTGCTCCTGTAGTTCTTGCAACTTATCAACTTTTAATGTCTTAGAGCACAACTCTGTGAAAAAGGTGCTCAACTGGATAAGTGGCTTAGAAAGAGCTTCGGGCCAACCACGCACTGCAAGAGGTAACAAGTGCTTCATGATAATATGGTAATCATGGCTCTTCAATCCAGATAATTTGCGATCCTTTAATAAAGCATTTTGTGAAATGTTTGAGGCATAACCATCGGGAAACTTCACACTTGTCAGAAACTTGCAAAAATCTCGTTTTTGTTCTGAGGATAGAGTATGAGGAGCTGGGGGCATCTCTATAGTTCCATTTTCAAGCCTTTTCAAGTGCAACGACTTCCTTATATTCATTATCTCTAAATCAAGACGTGCATTCAAATTATCCTTACTTTTCCCTTCAATATCAAGCAATGTTCCGAGCAAAGTTTCACACACATTTTTTTCAATGTGCATAACGTCGAGATTGTGACGTATCAAAAGAGTACTCCAATATGGCAATTCAAAGAAAATGCTCTTTTTTCGCCACAATGATTTTCGCTTTCTCTTCTTGCTAGTACTCATAGATGCGCCTGACGTTACTCCTTCAGCACTAACTAACTGGTCTACAACCTCATTACCCGACAAAACATTAGGTGGAGGCCTCAACTCTTCCTTGCCATCAAAGTTTGTTCGATCATATCTCCATTTGTGGCGACTTGGTAAAAATCTGCGATGGCCCATGTAACAGTGTTTAGATCCTTTTCTCAATCTGTAAGAACAAGTATTGTTGTTACATGAAGGACAAGCAAACGCTCCAGCGGTTCTCCATCCAGAAAGATCACCATATGCCGGAAAGTCACTTATTGTCCATATCAAAGAAGCAAACATTCTAAACTTCTTTTTCTTTGAGGCATCATAAGTTTCCACCCCAACTTCCCAAAGAAACTTCAATTCCTCTATTAAAGGTTGCAAATATACATCCACTTTATCCTTTGGCCCTTTAGGACCGGGAACAAGTGTGGAGAGAATTAAAGAATGTTGTTTCATGCAAAGCCATGGAGGTAAGTTATAAGGGATAAGAATCACTGGCCATGTACTGTGTGTTACATGTCCGTTTCTAAAGGGGCTAAATCCATCACCTGCTAAACCAAGGCGAACATTTCTAGGATCGGAGGAAAATGAAGGATATAACTCATCAAACGTTTTCCACGCTTTAGAATCTGCCGGATGTCTCATTGCCCCATCGTCCTCACGTTCATCGTGATGCCATCTCATACTTGAAGCTGTTTTGGATGACATGTAAATTCTTTGTAGTCTGGGAATCAATGGAAAATAACGCATTGTTTTGCATGGAATTTTTCTAACATTAGAATTTAAGGTACCAGATGCATCGCTTTGTTCCCTTTTTTTCCATCTACAAGAATTACAGTGAACACATTCATCCGCGTTCGCATGCTCCTTCCAAAATAACATACAATCATTTGGGCATGCATCAATTCTTTTGGACTCGAGAGATAAACTCTTTATAATTTTTTGAGCATCATAATATGAGTCAGGCAATGTGTTACCCTCAGGCAATGCATCTTTAAGTAGTTCAAGGAGCATAGCCATGCTTTTGTCACTTATTCCACCTAAACACTTGATGTGGAATAGCTTAAGCAAGAAGGACAACTTTGAGAATTTCTTGCAACCGGGATATAGCTCTAACTCAAGATCACCCATCAATTTGTAGAAGCTATTCACTAATTCTATAGGATCACTAGACTCACCAATATTAGCTTCACCATCATTCGCATCCTTCTCCCTCGGCATCCCAAATGCATCATGTAGCATTTCAGACATAGATGCAAGCTCTATGTACTCATTTGATGCATCTATGTTATTTCCGTGAGTTGTCCACTCCTCACTGTTTTCCCCATGCCGCAACCAGCGTGTATAACTCTTAACAATTCCATGTTTAATCAAATCCAACTCTATTTCTACCCTATCTTTCTTCCTTTCATTATTGCACTTCATACATGGACAAGGAACCACATCGTCCACGTCATTTTGTGAAAAAGCGAACTCAAGAAACTGTTTTACGCCAATCCTATACCTGGGGTCAGTTTTTTTGAATTGCATCCACTCACGATTCTTGTAATCCATTGTGTTCTAAGCACGACAATATAAAACAGTTAACTAACACATATAACTCGAAAAACTCATTTTACACAACAACAAAAGTCTGACTAGGTTACACTTCCACAGTTTAGCTGCAAATGAAACAGTACATTAACTCTCTACTTTAATGCTTCCAATATGCCCGAAACTGGATGATTTGGATCTCGCTGAGGTACATAAACTACGAAATCAGGTATGTCCTTATACTCACTTTGAAATATCTAATTTTCAAGCCTATGTGTTTTAATCTAAAATGATTTTTTGTTATGTTATTTGCTACTCCATCCGTCCTGAAAAGGTTTGCCAAATTTCCTTTTTGGATGTAACAAATAGATTTGCCATTTCCATTTAAAGTAAGGAATATGTGACGGCAGTAATTCTCTCTCCTCTGCACAAATTTCAACCACACAGTTTTTACTTTATTAATACACGTGAAAGTCAAAGTTGGCGAACCTTTTCGGGACGGAGGGAGTATTTATGTTTAGTACAGATTGAAAAAAACCAAAAACATTTGTTTTAGTATAAAAAACCTGATTTTTTATATGTTTGACATTTGTTTTTAATTTCAGCTTGATAACAGAAAGAATCCAGTCCCGGATCACCTTGTACTCTGTTTTTGTTAAGTTATTTGCTATTTTCATTTAGCACGGATTAAAAAAAATACAAATCTGGCTATTGATGTATGTGGAAGCCATATTTTAAGTCTATCTAAACTAAAGCTTTAAGGAAAATCTATGAACTATGAGCTATATGAACAAATACACGTATGGTACACACTCACACACACATATATTAACCAAAATTCGGAAACAACACCGAAAGAGGAAGAGAGGCGGTGAAGTAAAATAGTGGGAAAAAGGGTGTTATGAATCGATGCCGTGATCAAAACAATGCAAGATTGGTCATTGGGGACTTTCCTAACCGTTGGACTTGTTATTGCTCTTGTTGTGATTTTACTCCAACTTTTTAATGATCATAAAAAGAAATCTCCTAGTAACCCCCTCCCCCGAGCTTAATTTTAAAAGGCACGAGGCGGCGTGAGGCGATTCATCAATTTACCCGAGGCGCGAGGCGTGAGGGGACGAGGCGCGCGCCTCACTGAACTAAACCACATATCTTTGGTAAAA